CTTGGCCGAGTTCTTCCGCCGACGGAGCGCAACGTGCGCGAAGCTCGACGCCATGGGCCTGAAATAACTTCAGTCCTCACAGGCGGAAGCGTTCCGCAGTCCGAAGGGCTCTGGCGCGTCGTTTGTGTGTTGACGTCTTTCACCGAACGTTACGCATTTAACAAAATTGTATTGTCGTCTATGAAAGGTCAAGCTGTTACCGCAAGTCCAACTCGGCACCGAAGCATGGTAGAGCGATAGTGCAGGCAAGAGGTACCCGCGATTGGAGACAGCGTCTCTCTGATGTACAACTCCTTCACAGTCAAGAGCTACTACGACTGGCTCAGTCTACAGCAGGTGATGTTTGAAGCCAGCCAGGACATTCACCCACACCTCTCCTTCACTCATCACCCTACCCTAACCCTAAATGCACCGTCAGTTATCGGTGCCAATGTCAAGGCATTGATCCGTTGCAAAGAGAGGCGATCCTCGGGGGGTTAGCTGGGGGCAGGGACTGGCGGGGTTTGAAGTTATCCCTTTTCACGTCTTTGCATCACAAAGCGATAGTGATACAGGTCTGCGGTCGCCTGTTAGGTCGGTGGCTGTGGGCGACACACTTTACCAACCTCTGCCTGCTTGCCAGTCCCTATTTCCTTGCGCATCCATCTCTCTCCCTGTAGCTGGCAATGGTATGGTCATGAATCTTCTGGATGTGTTTGCTACATATCTGAACATGGTCTTCGCACGGATTCCACAATGATTCTGTCCCACAGGCAACAAGCAATGGCCCTCGCATTTGTTTCCAGCAGCCGAGCTGTGGACTCTCAAAGTTTGTCGGATCGGAAGCGGACAGAAGAACCGTCAAAGACTGACGCGACTGCAAGAAAGCGAGATTACAGCTCTGTACTACGCCACCATTGTGAATAAATGGAAAAAGCTGCTCTATCGCAGGCTTCCCACCCGCCTTGGCAGGTTTGCCCCTCGAAAGCTTTCGGTCTTTCAAGAAGCATTGCGTTTGGACAAGAACATATCAAATGGGCTGCGGCTGCGCAGGCCAGGCCCCGGATGACGGTGTGGCTGGCCGCGCGTTGCACCTAGCTCGCGTGTGAAGCGCGAAGACATTTCCGCGTCGGCTCGCCTCTGCACTTCCCTCAATCTCCATTCAGCCTCATCTTCGACATCTTCCTGCTGCATCTCGAGCGGGCCTGCAGTCTCTTCGTAGTCTCGGTTCAGCGATGCCTTGCCTTGCTCCCGACTCGCAGAGTCTTCTGGCGACTCGGCGAGATCAGAGCCTTGAGCGTATTCCATCATTGAACCCGCCTGTGGACTCGCGTCAAGTGACTCTGAAAGATCTTTCCTGGGTTCCTCATTCAGGATATTCCGAGCGGCTAATGATGCCTGGACAGCACCCAGAGCGCAGATGGGCGGCTGACCGAGAGGAGAACGGGCGGTAGAAGGGGAGGCACTTACAGAGTGCACAAGTGGACTCGAGCTGCTTGGAACGAGGTTGGCTGAGCCAGCCGTCGAGACAGACAGGCGATCCATGCGAGCAGCCATGTTCGACAGTAACGAGTCGATTCTTTGTCGCGATAAAACGTGGGAGGCCGTTGGGGCGAGTCGAAGTTCATGCCCAGCCATCGGCTGGAATGACGCCGGTGATGACAACGACCGTTTGCTGCCAGGCTCGGCCCGCTCTGTACCCACTAAGGGACGAGAATCGATCAACCGCACAAGGCTGTCGATATCCTCATCCAGCGAAAGGCCCTGGATCATGCAAGGAAAGATCAGCTGCACACCACAAACTCCAGCGAGTAGAACAGCTTAACTCACAAGCGCATCGGAATCTGATTCCAAAGAACTGGACGTGCGAAGGCGCCTTTCTCGCGACAAGTGTTCTGGTGGAATCGAAGGAGTCCGCAGGATGGCTCGAGGACCAACGGTTGGAATGGGCCTGTTCGAGGAAGCACCAGGAACGGATGCAGGTGCGGACAGGATACCTGAAGCAGCCTTGCTGAGATTTGTGATCGAGGCTGAGGCGCGTGAAGAGGAAGAGTAGCCAGAAAAAACGACTCGTAGGCTTGGAAACTCGCCCATAGGGAGCTTTGAAGCATGCAATAGCGATTGTCGGCCGATCGACCCTGTAGCGCTGCATGTGCTCGGAGTGTGCCGGAATCCTCTGCGAAGGGAGGAGCTTTCAGCATCACCTTGCATGGAAAGCTGCTGCGCCAAGGGCGAGGGCGTCGAAGGGCTGAAGGAACCATAGCTCGGCACCATCGCAGGAGCTGGTCGCAAGGGTACATGGGACCGCGCTGGTGATGACGGAGAAGTATCGCCAGCACTGCCTGGAGAGGGGCTCATTCGCTCTGCGCTTAGATTGCTCAGTCGTCTGATTCGCGGATTACCGATACTCGTGCTGAGTGAGCCAGCACCGCCGGCACTGCTGATTGAGGCTGTGCTACTTTGCCGCCGACCGTATGCTAGAAAAGCTGGTTCCGGACAGCCCGACATCATAGCTGCAAGTGTGGGAGGTTGTAAAGGGGGCGTGACGTGCGATCCACCAGACGGCGGTGTTGCAACGGTTACTGGTCCCCGTAGGCTTGAAAGTCCAGCTGGTGGTCGCGAGCTGGGCGAGGAAGAAAATGTAGAAGAAACAGACACGGCTTGCTGCAAGCTGCTGATACTGGGCAGTCGCTTGAGACTGCCAGATGACGGGGATGGGGAAGCCGGCGCATGGGCCGGCGAGCTGGTCGTCCCGGTCGGAGATGGACTAGATGGTGCGACAGAGGGCAATGAGCGACGAACCAGCTGGAAGCCCTCTTCCGGCATTCCCTCGTCGCGCTGCACGGATTGCTTTGGCTTCTTTTCGAGAGAACCACCACGACTGAGCCTTTTCTGCTCGACGGTCGGCTTGAACCGAAAGTAATCTTCATCAGCCATTATCCTTTCTTCCAACGCGCGCTCCCGGTCCATCTGTAGTTGTGAAAGGTCTTCGATGGAAAAGTCGATGGAGCTGCGATACGAGAGCGAGCTTCGCAGGACGCTACAGTAGCAAGTTCGCGTTCTAGATTAGCATACGCCATCACCACACCACAAAAGAAGAACTCACCCTAGCCAAGTTTCAATGGGTGGAAAGTCGTGCACGACGACGATGTCCCCCTCGTGCGTTAATGGGGTATGCACGTCTGTTTCAACGGTGGGGCCGGGACTGGTTTGTGCTAACTTTTCCACTTTTTGCGCCCTATCCGGAAAGCCATGACGGAGTTGAGAGAGAATGAGTTCTTCTAAATCAAGCTCATAATCGGCCAAGTTCGAGCGTAGAGTGACTTCGCCAGTCTCGTTATGCTCTTGCCCAGGGCTTTCCTCTCCTGCACTCAGACGAGCACCTAGATGTAAGGAGGAAGTTCCTGCTCCCTCCCGCTCCATGTTGGAGCGCAGGGTATTCACAGGGAGCTGGGCTGATACTTTGCGCATCTCTGCGATGCATCGAGAGCAGCTCTGATATATGGAGGGCAATGTTTGAGTCCTCTCCTCCTCTTCGTCGACTTCGGCTGCCACGGATCGGAAAGGATCCGGCGCTCCCGCAGGCTCGAACCAAACTTTCCATCGCTCGAGTACGATCGGTCCTGGAGGCTTGAAGCCATCACGCTGAGCCATCGATGTCGAAGAATCGCGAGTATGGCGTCTACCTTTGCTGGAAGGGGAAGTAAGAATCCATCGCTTGCCTGTCTTGCCAGTGCGAACGAGTATTGGGTGGCGCTGTCCATCCCCAGGCGCCCCTGACGGGTGCCGAGGTAGCGGTGTAATGCGGGAAGTGTCCAACAGGATGTCGAGAACCATCTCTGGAAGCAGCGGAGCTGCTTGGCCCACCCTCGAGTAAGCAGCTGCTTGCTCAAGCAGCGAAGAAATACTCTGCCACAGAAGCAGCTCCTGGGCAAAGTGCTGTAATGTTGGCCAATCTGGATCGAATCCCTTGCGCTTGCGAACATCTGTGGGTTGTTTCGAGGTGCCCTCAAGGCCGTGCGAGTAAGCGAAAGCACGTGCCAGCTCTGTGTCGCTATCAGTCAGGGCAAGCGAGCGCGGCGTTGCCTGGTGTGCACAGCTTGCCGAGGGTGATAATGTCATCAGGCCCAAGTCTGCTACCTTTGTAAAGAAGTGGTACAGGATCGCATCGAGCCTGCTGGTTGCAGTAGCGGTAGAACTGGCATCCTCACCCCTCCTTCGAGACGGCTGATTTGCAGGGGAAGACGCAGACGTCGACATGTTGGACATTACCGCGCCGCGGTCGCCTTGTTGCAAACAGTCCTGCGCGCAGCAGACGTTCACAACAAGCTTTCCGCAAGGAGATCCGAGGCACTTGAGCCGGAGCAACGATCGACCCTTTATCTGAACACCGACTCCATACTCGCTTGTGGAAACTGCTGAGTTTGAGGCTACATGTGATAGCGGCGTACTCTCATGAACTGTCGCCTACGTCGGGCGCGGGCGAGTGCGTGACCAGCTTGGCTTCACTCTGTCCGAGGTTTTCATTGAATGCGACCCTTGACTGGTACGATACTCGC